AGATTCATATTTAAGATTTTTTTTTTTTTAAGAGAAAGATCAGGTTAATGGGAAATATTAAGAATGGCTTTGAAGTTTGCTCAACAAATAACATTTACTTGCTTAATAAGTTAACCATAGTACATTGTTTACAAGAAACATCTTAAGGCTAAGAATATAGTTTCCACATGAACTTACAAAAGGAAAATTGATCATTTTAAATACTTTTTTCCTTCTTGCTTGCCTTATATATATATATATATATATATATATATGATAGATAGAGAGAGAGACAAAATAATCACTGTCAATGAAAAAGGTGATTTGTTACATGAAATTTAAGAAAAGAAAATTGTGGCTAGATCCGACAGCTTTCAACATCTCAACCTAAAGAGAATTTACTGAGGAAAATTTCTTGTGTTCAATGCAATTCAAATGAAGTTCTTTATTATAACCTGCTGGAACCTAGAAAAGCTGTTACTACTTAATACTATAGTGAGCAATTGGCTCATTTCAATGACAGTGGCAGAGAAAAAAAAGAATCTTTCTTTAAAGCAATGAATCTTCTATTTCAGGATAATACCCATGCTGATATTGCAAGTGTAACATAGCAATCCTGTATTAAACAGGCAGTTATTTCACACACAGCATATATTCCTTATAAGTCACCCCTAATCACTTCTTTTGCTCCTTAGCAGTTTTGACTATTTCAAGTTACCAAGAATTTGTCAGATCAAAAGTAAAACTGTTCTATTTTGAAGGAATACACAATTTAGATAAAAGTATCTGGTAAGGTTATAGAAAACCACAAAAATACTTTGAATTATGATATCAGAAATTTATAGGAAAAGATTTTGTCAAAATGGCAGTAACTTTTATGCATCAAATTAATTATAGAGTTTCTTTTAATGGAATGATAAGGTGCGTCTCTATAGAGTTCAGACACTTGAAAACATTTGCATTAGATTAAAAAAAGTTTAACATTACTTGATCAAGAGAAAAATAAACTACTTGACATTGCAATGAAGGATATTCTCTAAACAACAAAAAGAGAGAAACTTAGAAGTTTGACCTGTATATCATTACCCAAAGTTAAGTGGTCTACACTGTCAATGAAAATTTATACTGAAGAGAATATAGGTAAAAAGACTAAAAGGAAAACAATCAAAATTGACAAGATTTTTTTTTCAGCATTTTGAAATGAAAAGAAAAATAAATTTAAGTTTCAGAAGACAAAAACAGGAACTATTTCATAGATAAGAAAGAATGAATGAATATATTAGTTATTCTAAATCTCCTGGTGGTAGGTTCAAGTGATTGTACAGTAAATAAAAAAGAGATTGATTGTTGAAACAATCAGGCTTTAATATTGCCAGGTGGCAAGTGACTGGACATATAGAAGACTTGATGATTTATGAAAAAGCGTGTGAAGGCAGATATCAAAATAACAGACAGACAGACAAAAAAAAAAAATCCCACTGAGAAAATCACTTGTTGAAAAACAAGAGCAAAATAGAGAAAAAGAATGACCTTGAGGATGTTAAATGTTATGAGAATAAAGTCTAAGATTTAAGAAACAAGAAATCCTTGATTTCTTCCACTCTTTCTAAAAATAACTAAAAACTCACTTTCTTATTATATCATTTGCTGCAAATGTTAGAAAAAAATCTGTTAAAAAAAAAAAAAAAAAAAAAAAATATTCTCAAGGTTAGTTCACAATTCATTTTAAATTAATTTCACCCCAAGCAAAGCAATAAAGCCAGGAAAAGGCAAGAGGTTACCGAGTGCAAGAGAATATGAGAAAAAAAATAATATAAAGGAGAGAGAATCATAAAAGAACAGAAATTAAGATGGAAGATAATGCCCAACTTTGATATTTAAGATTTAAATATCAAAGTTAACTTGAAAGCAAGAAGCCAGAAGAGAGCTTCACAAGCAAGAAGGGCAAGACAAGAAACTGTTAGCATAGAACTTATAGTTACATTCAGCCATTTCAACTATAAAATGTTTAGACCTTGCCGCCAATCTAGAAGCACAGAGAAGCTACATTATGTTGGTGGGAAAGTGACTGAAACTGAGATGCCAGGTCAGGACCAATAACACTGCAGATTCTTTGGATTTTATTAATTATTGAAATGTCCTATAAAATTGAAATAAAAAACATTTTAAACCGTTGTTAAAATTAGGTTTTTAAAATGTTAAAACACCTTATTACTAAACTGAGAAATGAAATTCAAATTGTCTTAAAAAAAAAAAAAAAAAATTTTTCTCCCTGTTCACTAAACTATTTTAGTTCTTTTATTGCTTATTTAAAATAATGCTGAAAGACAAAACTATATTTTCCATAAATGCACATATATCTATATGCCCATCCTCTCCTGAGCACATTTTAAATCCCAGATTTAATCAGTCTTTCAGCTTGTGCACCGGTTATATGTAACCAAGTAGATTTTTCTGAGGTAGGATTGCAAGTTTTATGCTTAGTTTGAGACAGAAATAGATTCAACTCTTGGTTTTGAATTCAGTTTTATCTGGTTGGCAATGAAGACCAATATCCAATTTAACCTGCTATCTCACCATCATCTAGAGATTGGGGGGGGTTTAGAATAAATGGATTCATGCAGAATGAACACAAACTGTTTCAGCTGGAATTTGAACTCAGCTCCTCAATTCCACTTCTTGTATTGTTAACTATCAATCAGGCAAGCCACATCAGCATATTAAAGACATCTACAGACAAACTGTTTTGCTGTATCACAGTATTAGACATCCGACAACATTCATATTTCCCCCTTCCACTCACCTCTAGTTAGGAAAAACCCTCCCTGTTAAGTTTTAGTCTCCCACCTTCTGTCTATTACCCCTCTCTTTAACACTAACATTCGTCCCACACTCTCATACTTACACTCTCTCCAAATTCTATTTTTATTTCGGAGTTGTTCTTTTTCTGTTCTCTTTTTGAATTTGTAGGTCTGATGAATTGGATCGTATTTACGATTCCAATGGAATAAATTATGACCATGGAATATTAGTGTTTAAGCCTTTTTATTATATCCTTACTCTGTCTTGGACATTGAGTTCTACCTGGATTCTATCCTCTCGGAATTTTTATTCAAAAAATATACATGTATGTGTTATGCACCTATGTATATATATATATATATATTTTGCATATGTATGTGTATATTTACCACTAATATTATCTATTTTTTATATATATATATATATATATATATATATATATATAAAAATAAACAAACCCGACAGAGTTTCAAAATTAAATACTTATTCACATTGTCTGCTGAGGACAGCAAAGAATGTATAGCTGTCACATCACAGATGACTCATGAACAATGGGCTGTGTTACATATATTTTACTGAAAGTCAATAAGAGATTAAGATTTTGCACAAGAACAGAGTTTTATATTTAGTTTAATAAACAATACTTTTGAATTAATCAACAATGTTTTGCTAAGCAACAGGAAAGCTTCACCTGGGGAAACTATTTTGCTAAGTGAAGCAAAACTAAAAGGTTTTGTGAAATAGAAAAAGCTCATTACACTGAGAATGCAATTTATTTTCAGTCAGTCACATTTTCTAAGCAGATTTTGAAATGAACATTCAGTGTGTTGGGATAAATATGCATAAGGATTCTGATTGAAATGGAATATCACTTATAACGGGAGTTTTCAACCAGGTGGGGAATCCCCCCTGTCAGGAGAACTTCAGGGTTTCAGAGAGGGAGAATGTTTTACTTTTTTTCGTTTTTTTGTTATAGAATTTTGTTTGAATTACATTACCTTGGCATTCTAATGAACTTTTTGTTTATTGAAGTATGCTTCAGTTTATTTATTTAATTAGTTCTAAATTAAAACAAATTACTGTACATTTATTCAAGTTTAAAAATTGATCAATATTTTCTATTGCTATTAAATTTACAAAAATAATTCATGTAAATGTATACTGTACTAATATGGGAAAGAATAAAGATTTTTCAATAACATATGCATATTATTTGGAATGTACCTTTTGAGTTAGACAATCTTGAAAAAGGGGTGACATTCTGACATTTGGCAAAAAAAGGGTGCATCGTGCAAAAAAGATTGAGAACCACTGGCTTAGAAGAAATAAACAATTAGTAGAACCCACTGTACAAGAACAGAACTAAAACAAATTTTTTTTTTTTTTTTTTTTATAATGTAAATCTATTTAAAAGAAACGATCTGGACAACAGGTTTCAATCCTTATATAAGAATTGAAACCTATTGTCTTGATGTGTTCTGCTTAAACTGAATCAACTATTTCCAAGAATTAAAAAGGTGTCATATTCAAAACTCTACTTTCAAAGTTTTTTTTTTTTTAAAGATAAATTCTAGGAGTAATTCTCTTTAAAAAAAAAGAAAAAAAAAATCAATATACACTAACATAAATGAAATTCCTTCATAGAAAGAAAAAAAAAAAAATCTTCATAATACTTCATATTGAGTCAAAGACGAAAAAAAAAATCATAACTCAAAGAATCTATATTTAGCATCGATAGAAGTTCAAAGTATCCAAAGAACATGTCGTATTACACAATGAAGACAATGATCAGTTTTTACACATTACCTTGTCAAATAGAAAATAATTTTGCATCAATACTATGACATAATATAATATTACAATCATGTACACGAACAAAATCATTTAGGGTAACAGTCCACAGGAATGTTTTAATCCTTCAAGGAATTAGAAATTTCAAGCAGTTAATGAACTTGCACATAATCTGAAATCCATTCTTGGATTTCTAACACAAGGGTAGGATCCAGGAGTTCGGTATAACATCCAAGTTATGTTGGTTTGTGATCCACTGGTATCCAGAGAAAGGAAAAAAAATTTTTTTTTTTTTTTGCAAATTAGGTTCCTATGAGTAAAATCTTAAAAAACAAAAAAATTGTTGAAATTTTTCTGAAATGAAAACATTTGCACATGAACTTTACTATTTGAAGATGAAAGAGTAAAAACAAAAGAAATACACATACCAGGCGTTCCCCAGATAGGACTTCCAGCAATTTTATCAACATCTTTCCATCTCGTAAATCCAAATATAAGTCACCAATCCGGCAGCCCACACGGGCCAGGTGTGAATTCACCCATTTTGTAAAGGTCTTTTTCTGGACTGCCTCTCTCTCATCTACAAATAAAATATTTTAAACTTTTTATTAGTCAAATTTAAAAAAGAAAAAAAAAAGTATATTGGAATAATAATTACTCTTTGTGACAAAAAGACAAACAAGCCACTTTCCTTAAAAATAAATAAAAAATGAAGTGGTAGTAGTGGTTAATTCTTTCCTAACAGAAAGAGTTTGTTCTTAAATGCATATTTTTTTCTTTTTACAATAATGTTCACCCTGTACAAGGCCCAAGCGACACTCAAGGTAGAGAGTTAAAAGTAAGAGGTAAGTGACAGTTTATGAGGATATGTGAAGAAGATAACAGTTAAACTTGATCAGGTTAAGACTGTAGTGATCAAGGAAGCATTCTCTTGGGAGTCAATTCCACAAAGTAGCAGTTCATGGGAAGAAGCTGCTTGAGTAGAACTTAGATCTCATGAATGGAATGGAAAGAGAATGAGAGCCATTCACTAAAATGTGTGCAGAAGGGGTAGCAGAGGGTGCAATGGCCTCAAGCATCCATATCAGTGAGGACATCTAATCAACAAGTGAAATATCAGGCTGGCAAAAAAGTATGTTCAATTTTTGAGAAGAATGTTTTCTGTGATGTCAATGAACACTCGTTTGACACTTTTGTGATGCCAAAAAATACTCGTTGCCACTTTTGTAATGCTCATTGTAATCGTAGATACAACTTATAGTATGCCATTGAACAATGCTGGTGTCAGACGCTTTTGAATATCACTCACACGAATAGCACTTGCTCAATAATGCTTGTAAAGTAACTACCGAATAGTAATATGTATAGAGAAATAGTATAGTAAATAGAGTAGAGAATAGCGGTCCATATAGTGAAATAGTATAGAGTAGAAATGGTAATCTGAATAGTAATAGAGGATAGAATAGAAAGGCAATCAATTAGACATCATACAAGTTCCTACTTATGCATTTTCTCTATGGTCACGTGGTCTACTTAATCCAATAATGGGAAATAAATATTTTTCATAATCTTCTGCAATATTCACTCCCATGTTCATCCCATCTAAAAGATCATATTTGACATATCTTACTGTATGAGTTTCATAAAGGTGTCAATGCAAGTGCAGCAGCAAAGTCTATTCATGGTGCTTATAGAGATGATGCAGTGAATGAAAGAAGTTGCAGGAGGGTGTTTTCCTGTTTCTAAAGTGGGAATTTCAGTTTGAAAGATGGGCAAAAAGAAAGTCATAAAAAAAAACAAAAAAAAAAAAAACATTCCTTTGATTCCAAAGAATTGGAAGCTGTTGTCATAGACAATCCCACCATTACCTATAGGGAATTTGCAGAGCAATTTAACGTAGACCATACAACCATCTTACAACAATTAAAAAGGGTTGGAAAATGGATCCCACACAAACTGTCTCCAGAGAATCTGCAACAGCGTGTTGCTTGTGAATCATTGCTTCCATGACACCCTCAGGCACCATTTTTAGAAAGGCTTGTTATAAGTAATGAGAAGTAGATCCTTTACCATAACATTAAACACTGCCAATCGCGGATCAGTTGAGGAGGAAGATCAGTTCAACAACCAAGAGGAGGAGTTCATCCAAAGAAGATCATGTCGAATGTATGGCAGTATATTGAAGGAATTGTCCATTACAAACTTTTAAACAATAATCAAACAATTACAGTTAATCTATACTGTGATAGAGTTCATTGTTTGAAAACAGTTCTGAACCAAAAGCAACCTTCCTTAATGAACAGAAAGGATATCATCATCCATCACGATAATGTTCATCCTCACACAGCTCGACTGACTAAAAATCTTTTGGAAGAGCTTGGTTGGGAAACATTACTTCATCCACCATATTCTACTGACCTTGCTCCTTCTGATTATCACTTGTTTCAAGGACTACAGGATCATTTGGATGGTCTTAGGCTGACATCAAGAGGCTGAAAATGTTGGATTTATATTTTGCTTCAAAATCTAAGGAATTTTACAGGTGTGGTATTTATAAGCTTGTTGACAGATGGAATGGTGTTCTAGAAAGCATAGGAAGTTATGTTAACGAATAAATATTTTCATAATCATGGACTTTTTCATTTTTAATATAGACCTTGAAATTGGACATTACTTTTGCACTAACCTGATAAAGACTAGGCCCTCCTACTCGAGCCTTAGGGGCATACAATCAAAGAGTTGGCTTTGAGCATCATCAAACCTCTGTACGTCACTACTTGCTGGCTATTAGCCATGATGGTTAGAACTGGTTGAACTAAAGAATGTAGTTAGTCTGAATAATTTCCATGGAAATAGCAATAGCATAGAAAAAGGCTTGCAACATTTGTATGTGAGAAAGGGCTTGTTAGGTGGAAAAATCATCATCATCTACAAGGTTATGTAGACACTCTTGGACTAGCAGCACAGTCTGTGTGTTTGGATAAATAAGTAGGAGCAGTAAAGAGTGGATTCTGGTTGAAATGGAACATCACTTACACAGAAATAGACAATTAGTAGAACATACTGTGTAAACACAGAGCTTAAACTATTTTATCTGTTTTATGTAAATCTGTTTGAAAGAAATGTCTTTGTATAAAGATTGAAAGAAAATAAAATTAACTCTTTCTAGTTTTTAAAAGCACATGAACAGTCTAACACCAGAGTCAGACATTTTTAAAGCCTGTTTTCTGTCAAGGTAAACAATATTATCTACATGTTTATATAAAAAAAAAAAAAAAAAAAATGCAAGAATCTTTCACTGCCTAAGCTTTTTTTCCAGGTATTATTTCTAAAATTATTCACAGAAGTTTGAGATTATAATATTGCTGGCAGAAAATAATTTTTATAAAATATTAATAGATTTATAAATCCATTAATTTTTAAGCATTCTGAACTTTGGAAACTGTATAAGTTCTTAAGAGCTACTAAAGATATATATTTGTTTTTAGAATTTTATTTCAAAACAAAAATATGTAAGAAAAATAGTAGCAAGAACCGAGATTCCAATGAGGGTTCTTCCTCTTGTGCTGTGCCCACTCAGGACATAAGCAATCATGGCTCTCCACAATTTCCTGTCCTTTGTAGCACTTAATAAATTCTGTTCTTTTTGTTATTTCACCCAAACCCTGTTCTGCCATCCATTTACTTGAGCTCATTAAGTTAGTTAAGTGTTGTTTTCTCATCTCTCTTGTCTTCAGTTGTCCTGTGAGTATCAGTTTTTCCATGCCTTCCTTCCTTGTTTTAGAAGTTTCAGTTGTCTCTTCTTGATGTTAAGTACAAACCAACTCACATCCCAAAATCTGACAAAACACCAGGATTTCTTTTGGAATTGCTTCTTGGTTAGACAGAAAACTTTTCACTGTCCTATCAAGTGCACCTACAAAGCTGAATAGGATATAAGTTTAAAACTACAACACTGAAGTAATAATGCCACCATCCTAAAATTAACAGCTTTTTAAATTTTTACTTGATTTTCTTATGCAAAGTATTTCTAGTAGTGAAGTAGGGATGGAAGAGTGATGAGCAGTAGGGACTGTCCATTCATTCCTCTTCTGGAATAAACCATTGCCCAGAGAACTACATGTCAGGTGGGTGGCACTTTTCAAATTCTACTGAAGTCTTTAATTGAGAATTTGAAAATGCACCCAACAGTGATGACTTTGGAAGAGTTAAATAGCATTTAGAACAGGCAAACACCATTTGGCAAGAAACAGCAATTGAGACATTCTTTCCCCTCCTCACTAATTAACATCAAGATTACGTAGGAGGAGATTGAGCTGCCAAAACTGGTTTGAGTGGCCAGTTTAAGCAAGGATAATGTTTAAAGAGTAAATCATAGTGGGGGAACAAGCAAAAAATAGCATCCGTGAGAAAGCAATAGAGACAAGGTATGAGGAAAGAGGCATTAAGAGTGGAAATTTTATTTAGAATGCACTTGATTAAAAAAAAAAAAAAAAAAAGGTAACAGCTTTGTAAAGACACCGCTCTGTCAGAGAGACAATCGATGACAATACCCAATTAATATAATCAACATACAAAGATTTGGTGGTTCCTCTTAAATGCAACAATGATTAAAAGGAAGACTTTTCAGATCTTCTAAATATGATACCGTGAGACACATTCTCTTCTTTACCTAAATAAAAATTAAAATAGACCATTTCCTATCGGGTTTTAATTCAGAATATTGGCTTCATGGAATCACATGCCTGGTATCAATTTGTTATTATTAACAATTTTAATGTCAAACATGATTATAGACTTTACGTTTAAGGTGTTTAGTATAAAGTAGCTACCAATACAAAAGACCATCAAGTCAGCATCTCACTTCAGGAACTAGTTTGAAAATAGGAAAAAAAAAAGTGATGAAGCTTCATATTTATTTTGCCTTAATCATTGGGACTTACAGCCATATCACAATGAAGCACCAGTTCTCATACAATCACCAGAGTTAAGCAATGTTGGACCTGGTCAGTACCCAGATGGGTGACTGCTTTGGAACACCAAATGCTGTAAAACTGGATGTGCAGGTGGTTTAATGGATAATGGCTTGGAAATTGGAATTTAGAGAGCCAAGTTCCATTTCCAGTTGGGTTTGTTATATTCAGTTATACACAAATGTCCTTGGGAGAGGTATGAATCCACTTATTCCCCCAGCTATGGATTAATTAGTTGAACCTGTATCAGTAAATTATTATCTCCAAAATAATTTTTACAATCTAAAAATATTTTCTGGCTTTAAATAACCTGCAAAAGGTCGAGTCGTAAATGCATAAAGTATATAATATGGCCTTCATACTGAAACATATACTGGCCTATACTTTATATAGAGCAATTGTTACAGAATAGTTTAAATGTATTTAGAGGTAAAAAGTTAAAACATGCAATTTGTCATATTCAGTATTAGGTTGGAGGAACTTGTTAACACTTAAGCTTGTAAATTAAGGATTGCTGATAAATCTGGAGTATCTTTGCCTGACTTTCTACTTAGTCTCTTGAGTGATATCTATATAACACTTTCCCTGGTTTCTGCTGTCATCTGTAAACTGGATTCCCCCAAAGCATGTGGACTTGAGATGGAATCCCTGCAATAGTCCTTCAGAAATGTGCTCCTGAACTGGCTCCTGTTCTCTCTAAACTTTACAATAATTGCCTGGCTGCTTCCTGCTTATTGGAAATATTTTTCTGTAGTTCCAGACTTCAGGTGAACTGTCTGATTCTTCTATCAGCTTTCTAGTACTTTGGCAAAGTACTAGATGCCATAATCAACTCCGAATTCATTAATTATCTTACATCGCAAGGTCTTCATTCAGATAAGCAATATGGCTCTTGCATATCTAGGTCCACTGCTGATGTATTAAGGATTATTGTTAAAATAGTCTATCAAGATTTAGATAAAAATGGTGGAGACATCTTGCAGGCTTTGTCACACCAGTCTTCTTCACAAGTCGAAAGGTTATGATAGTTCAAGACAAATTTTTGAACTGATTAAATCTTATCAAATCACAAAATGAAAGTTGTCCTGAATGGCCACTCTTCTAGATCTTTTTGCATTAATGCCGGTGTCCCCAGGGCTCTATCCTTTGACTTATGTTGTTCCTAATTTTCATCAATGACTTTCCTAATGTCACCTGTTCTCAACTCAGTATCTATGCTGATGACAACTATTTACTCCTGTCTTAATAGTAACTCTGATTGGTTCAATAAGGTCAAATTGACAGTAGATCTTAAAAGTGACTTAAGACCTGCTGTTAACTTAAGTCATCTCTATTAATCATCTGAGAGACCTCTTTCTGCCTTCCATCAGCATGACTGATGCTAACCTCCAAGAGAATAACTTGTTACACCTTCTTGGGCTAATGTTTTCTGTTGACATGAAGTGGAAAGATTATTTTGAATCAACTGCTATGCCTGCTACTGGCAAAGTTGGTTCATTATGTCATGCTAGACAATTTTTCTCTCAAAAATCTAATTTACACATAAGTCTACCATTTTGCCCAAGCTTTGAATAGTGCTTCCACATATGGTCTGGTGCTCCTGCTATATATGTGGAAATATTTTATAAAATCCAAAGAAGAAAATGCAATATTATTGATCCTAACCTGGCTTCAGCCACTTTTCCATTGCCATAATGTAGCTTCCCTGTGCCTTTTCTATAAATACTTTCATGGTAATTGCTCTGATGAACTTTCCTGTATGGTAGCTAGACATTATGAATTTAATCACAACAAGGTCTCATCATTTTACCAGTGAATTGGCTAGATGTAACTAAGTTCTTTGCTAAAAATTACTTTACTCACACTTCTCACCTGTGGAATTCTTCTGGCTTGTCTTCCAGTCAACTTTGATCTTCAAAAGTTTAAATGCAATGTTAATCATTATCTACTTTCTTTGATTCCTTTTATTGTTCTCACTCCTTAATATTTTTCTTTTACATTCAGTACCCCCCACACACACACAGTGTCTCAATGGCTTTATTGCCTTGCTTGGGGCAAAATGAAAATAAAATAAAAAGAAACACAAGAAGTCCTGTTTTCTTTATCTGTAGATTTAAAAAAGCAAAAGCCAAAATAACAAAGTCAATATTTTACATTGGCATTTCCTTTACTCTCAGGGGAAAAAAAAAAAAACCCAATTCTAAATGAAAAGGTGATTTTAACTATGAAAATATCCAATTATTTAAAATTAAAAAAAAATCTGCTAGTACTTATTGCTTTGTATGACTCATCTATAGCTAATTTAATCTCTACCACATGTTGTTGCGGATACTAAACCGCTTATTAAAATTGGTGCAGGGTAAAAAATAAAAATAGGAATAGAAATTATTTGTTGCTAATATCCAGTTTTTTTTTATGCATCAGAATAGAAATTGAATATTTGAACGTAGCAAAATATTTTTTCAATGGATTTTTTTTTTATGTAATTCTAATATTTATTTTAAATATTATAGAAAGTCTAAAAAAAAAAAAAAAAAAAATTAATGATAAATAGAAAAAAAAAAGATTATAATTTCCTGAAAATCCTTTCAGTTTAAGCAGAGTGAAAGAGGCATTGCAATAGAACAGAAGTTGCCAGTTGAGTCATTAATTATGCAGGAGATTGGGTTAGGTGTGAGACACGCTTTCTCCTATGTCTTTTGCAGCAAATGTCTGACACAAACCAATTGGAATGCTTCTTACTCCTTTGTTATTGCCACATCATTCAGGAATGGCCTGAAACCCCATCATTTACGCAAAATTGAAGGGCAGCAAATTTAGCTCACATATTTGGACACTCCTATCAAAATGCCCAGCAAGTAAGCATTCGACCAAATAAGATTACTATTTCCACAACACTTGAAGTAAATCTGCGACATGCAAGGTGATCACTAGTTAGCAAGAAAAAGCTCAAATTAAACAATAAGGAGATAATTAGTTTTACTTCAGAACAATTAATATACAATTATTAGACTATGTTATTATTTGTTCAAATCTTAAATATGGATGCTAAAATGCAAACAAATGCAGCCGTTTCATAGGATGTTCACACTAAAACATTTTACAAATCAACTCAACCAAATTTCGAGGTGTGGACCTTTATAAGTTTACAAGATTGAACAATAGAATTTAATAATTGTATTCATAAAGCAAACCTTGAAAAATACAAAGTCTAACTGGAAGAAAAGATTTGTTAGAATTTTGTGTACACAACATTAGAAAAATGGCAGTATAATGAAAGTGAAGTAAGATTTCAACAAACTGAAGGTAATTAAGACAAAAGGAAATAATTTAAAGCTCATAAAAATATCTGGCAAAAAAAAGAATTCATATTTATAGTAGAAAAAAGCTTAACTTAGATGTAAAAAAAATGGATTCAAATTTGCCCCAAATTATTTCTCTATTTGAAAATTACTTGACAAAAATCTAACAACAAAATGTTCTATTGCACCAGTATACTTCTTTCATTCTCTGATATATAATTTTCTAATTTTAATCTAAAATTTCTAAATCTCAAAAACAAGATGAACTCATGCCAAGTACTTCAAAATTCATTATTTTAATTTGCAAAATTAAAATTCTGTTTTAGAACTGTTAAAAGAAATTTGAAAGATTTGTTCAAAATCCATGAAACAATGAGGTTACTTTGTTTTTCTAGGACGTTTTGCCAGAATGTTTTAATCCTAATTGATGTAATAACAAACTAGAAAATAATTATTTAAAAATGAGTTATTCTAAGAAAAAAATTTTTTTTGCAAGACAGATTCCTTTATAATTTTTTTTTTTTTTTTTTTTTTTATATAAATCAAAGTGTTAATCTAGGTTCCTAATAGGAACACTTGAAAGAAACATTTAAAAATCCAGAATTCATTGCATTTAAAAACTGCAAAGAGAAGAAATACCTACTGGAGCTCAAATTCATTTGCCTAGTGATTATCTAAACCTCTTATTTTCTGTAATATCTTAACAGATTACCACTGAACATTTTTTTTTTATTATAGGATTTTAACTGACTAATAATGAAACATTCCAAGACTGAAATTTAGGAAATTTTCAAATAAGCAAACACATTTTACTAATACAGAGTGCAGCAGAAATACCTCCCACATTTTGAACTGTCACCTGTGTGATGCTTGTGAACTTAGGCAAGTGACATTGGCATCTTAATGTAGCTAATGTCTTACCATTTTTATTCAGATATTGGTTATCATGACTTGAACTGGTGCCCACTCTGCATTTGATGTTGAAACATTTTTTTTAAAGACTGGTAAATCTTTACTTGCAGTACAGAGCTTTCCATGCTCATTTCATGTTACACTGGAATGATGTTCTGGATAGAAAATTGGTACTGCTATGGATTCAAAAATTTCAGGGCCACAGTACTTAAAAGAAAGCCACCTCAAAGACCTTTAAGCATTTAAGCTTCCAGACAAGGTAAAAAATTTAGAAATTGTCTACAACAGTGTATGGCAAATAGAGGCCACCATTTGGAGGATGTCATTTTTAAAACCAAATGAATAAAAAACTGTAGCCCTTTGTTTAAACAGTGAGATAATTTTTCTAATAGTAGTTACCTTGGTCTTTTTGTCAACTTTTAAAATGTGAGATGTATTTCTGACACACTTTGTATTTCATATAAGACAGGACAACTCTTGGATGACAATTATTTCTAGCAGATTTCACAAAAGGTTTCAAAAAGACATTTTTGAGAAGTCATTTTTTTTTTTTTTTTTTTTTTTTTTAATTTTTATTGCAGCAATAAACACAAACACCATATTTCTGTGCAGACCTATAAACATTGTCAAGAGGCTAACATTTATATTCCTCTTTTAACTATTGTTTGTACTACAAATGTAAATTTTTTTTTTTTAAGTTTTGGTTTTTCTGACAACTGGAAAAAAGGTCATAAATTTTTTTTTTTAAAGTCATAAATGGTTTCTGGCTAGCTAGGAAATTTTCAAATTTGAGTCTACTTTATACAGTTGAACAAGATGAAGATTAGGTTAACCTGAAACATACAAAATAAGTGTTCAGATTGTTCCATTTCATGTAATACATCAATTTGATGCTTTGGCACATATCAGTGATGTATAAAATAAACATCCGCATGGGAAGCATACAAATTCATTCAAAATTTATGTGTTGAAGTGAAAGTATTTCATTCAACATTCTACAGGGAATCAAATAAACATTCAACTAATTTGTAAATGAAAAATTGATTCTAGGAGTTGTTCTGACAATGGAACTAATTCTTTGTTACCATGTTACCAACTATGGGTTAAATAGCAAGACAGTCTGGGTCCTATAGCCTTGATTAGCAACCAGTCTACTGCAGAATGTAACAGCAGCCTACTGTGAGAATTCTTCTACAAAGTCAGCCATGAATCAAAAAGAGACATTGTCCAACTGTGCATAAGATAATATGAATTCATGCCTTTCCCAAAGGCATTAATTCAAAAGTTAACCCAACAGACTAGGACAGAATTGCCAATTGCTGATTTTCCTTTCAGCACTGAAAACAGTAACACTACCAAAACAAAGTTTACACTACTGAGAGAGAGAGAAAAAATATACACACACACACATTTTCTTTTCATACACACGTGAAAAAGGCCACAGAATAGAGCAGCTGAAATATGGTAACAACAAAAGATATTTTCAATAACCTCAACAACTTTTGCATTGATAATGACTAATCTCAAAATTACAGTAGATATAAAAAAAAAAAAAATAAATAAAATAAAAATTGTTATTCTCTAAGAATATTTCAAAGGTTGCTTTTTTCCCTTAGAAAAAAAAAAAAAAAAAAAAAAGAAAAATCTAAAAAAATGAGACGCCACAAAATTAATTGATGCATGATCAGTTAAATGTTTAAAATACACCCAAGTGAATTTGAAAGGTATTAAAAAAGAACTACTGGGAGAGCTAGCAAGTGACTGAAAGAAAGAAAAGTGAATGAATGAATGAATAAAAGACTGTAGAAAATAGTTTTTTCAGCACCACTCCCCAGTCATTTTAGGCACATTTCTCAAATTCTTGACATTTCTAAACAGCTTCCTCCTCCCTACCACTGCTATCCAATTTCAGTGACAGAACACAGTGTGTGTGTGTGTGTGTGTGTGTAAGAGACCTGGGATGATGATAAATAACCTTCTTGTGAAAAGAAGTCTTCAGCCTGTCCAGGAATGACCTATTCCTCCCTCCTCCTTGTTCTGGAGAAGACTACACACAAACAGTTACCATCAATGTGGAGGAATTCACCTTCCTAATAAAAATAAAATAAAAATAAAAAGTCGGGCAGGGAGGTGAGGTGATAGTCTTGGCATTTTTTTAAAGAGGCTTAAAGGTTCAGCACACAGAAGATTACAATATCTTTTTTTATATATCATTTCACCCCAAGCAGGGCAATAAAGCTACTAAGACAAGGGGTTACTGAGTGTGAATGAATATAAGAAAAAGAAAAATACTATTAAGGAAAGAGAATAGGAATTAAGACAGTAGGACATAATGCTTGACATTGCATTTCAAATTTTGAAGATCAAGTTTACTGGAAAGCAAAAAGCCAGAAGAGAGTTCCACAAGTGAAAAATATAAGAAATTTTAATATAGAACTTACAGTTACATCCAACAATGTCAACTGTAAAATAATGGGACCTAGCTGCCAATCTAGTACAGCATTTAAATTCATAGTCAAGGTAACAAAATAGGAGAGCTCATCTGAACAATTTCCATGAAAAAATTTATAGAAAAGCTGCAGGAAGCTACGTTATGGCAGTGTGAAAGTAGCTGAAGCCAAGATGCCAGGTCAAGACTGATAACATTGCAGATTCTTTGAATTATATCAAGAATCTCTAAATACATCCCAAATTATAACAACAGAATTTTAATAAAGTAAAACAATTGATCCTAGAAAAGTTGAATCTCATTCTTTTGAAAATCATTTCTTGGTGAATGAACTTTGTGAAAGTTTGTTCAAATTTTATTTAAAATCTAAGGTTCAATTATATAAGATTTATGCAAAAAAAAAAAAAAAAAAAAAAAAAAAAAAAGAAGTCAAATACACATTTGTGTACTTGCAAAATCTATATCTATAGATAATAAATAACATCAATCATCTGACATCTTAGGATTTATCATATATTTCCCCAATTAAAAATTTCAAGGTATGACTTGCCAATTTCCCTGGGTTAAAAAATAAAGGCAGTGTAACTGAATAAATAAAAAAAAAAAAAAAAAAACTTACCTGCAAGAGCTTTGATTCTTGATCGCTCAAACAGCTTGGAAGAATTACTTCCACTATCGAAACCCTCTTCCATCGCTGGGGGGCCCTGCCCAGGCTCCCAATGGACCCCTGCATGAATCTGTGCTATCTCTGTCATGACACCTTAACTCTGAAAGAGAAGAAATAAAAATATAAATAAATAAAAATAACACACTTCAAACTGCTTCAGTAATTTTCTAATAAAAATTGAATTAAAAATGAAATAATTTTATTGGAAATAGACAAAAAAGTTTTTATTCAGCCATATTCTTGAAAGGGAGAGACAAATATTGAAAAGAATGTATGAATATTCTAAAAGTTTAAGTTGAGTACTCTGGATAAAAGACACCACTTGACTAGAAGTTGGGCATCAATCAGAGTATCTAACATTAAAATTGTTGAAAAGCATTGAAATAAAAAAATAAAAAAAAATGAGCAAATTCATATTCTTCCTATAAAGTGTGAAATTAAATTGCAAGAAAAAAAATGGTACAAGTCCTTTTTAACTGTGGAATTCAAGAGCATGAATTGTTTATGGAGATTTTTCAGGATTATCTGTGCAGACTGACCCCCAACAAAAGAGAAAAACAAGCCAAATACCAACAAAGTTTGCATTAAGAAAATATACAAGCTGGCTAATCTTAGATGTCATTCAAAATCATTTGCATAATTAAAAATTATCATACAAGGTTTAAAAATAATTAAAGCTTTAACCTAACTAATTTCTCAAAGGGAATGATGACAGTTTAAAAAAAAAATCATTAAAAAAGAAAAAAGTTAATGCTATTAATTTGGATTAACAGATTATCCATGAAACCAATATTTCAGTGGTTAATCTGCTCAGTCAGGTGAGCTACTATTCAGATTGAAAGTGGGGAGGGAGCATTAGATAAGGTTATCTGAAAAGTAGTCAGATTAGAGATATAGATTCAACTGATCAAAATTCATGGTCCCTCAGTGGCTAACTAGAGACGATGAGTGCAGGGAACATAATGCAGAGAAAATTGATCTAGAATTAATGAAAAACTAAGTTTGAATCACATGACACTTCAAACAATCTTGGTGGATAAAGAGTCAACATTAAATTCAAGAATCTAAGATTTTGTCCTGCAGTGGTTTGGAGAAGAAAAAAAAAAAAAGAAAGAACGAAACAAAACAATGCTAAAGATTAATATCTAAAATGCAAGGGTAAATAAATAGCAATAGAGGAAAAGATTGCAAACAATAAAAGTCTAATCGTCACATGAAACCAAAAAATAGAAAAATATTTACAGGGAAGATAAATAATCTCAATAAAATTTATTTAACAATATAAAGATTAAACTGGCTTAATTAAAATTACCCTCTAATTCTTATGTTTCTTTAAAATATTTCAATAGTGCAAGATTTAAAAAAAAAAAAAAAAATTAATGCATATTTGCAATTGTTGATGAGATCAATTTTTTTTTTTTTTTTCTAAACTACTTCACCCCCGTCAATTTTATCTGGAGATTTAAAAATAAATAATGAAAAAAAGAGCAAAGAATTACAACAAACAAATGCAAAAAAGAAAATTAAATTTCACTGTTCATTGCACATCTTGACTTAACAACAACTTCACCAAGATGAGAAAAGGAGTGTGTGAATGAGAAAGCTACCATTTGGAGAAAAAAAAAAAAAAAAAAAAAAAAAAAAGCAGTCAAACAATTCTATAAAAACCAAAATTTCTTCAAAAGTTTATAATAATCCAAACAAAAAGCAGATCTTTCATGTACGTTATTAACAATCTAAAATTCCAAACACACAAATCACAGCCTGGAATGCTACTTCTAGAACTTTTACTCTTGGCAATATTTATTCTTGAAAGTGGATGCAAAAATTCCCAGCATCATCTTCTGCACAATGTTTGGGAAATTATAGAAATGTCTTTGACCTTTACTTGTAAAGACGTGAGGAAAAATTCAGAAGCTAAGAAAATTAAATTCACTTGAATTTATACAAGTCACTAGCAATAAAATAAAGAGATTTATTAAAAGAATATAAGGAAAAATGTGTGGAGCTTTTAACATAATCTGGAAAAAAAAAAATCTAATGATAAGAAAAAAAAGTGTGTTTGGCAAGAGTGAAAGTCATTCTACTTTATGAAGGATAAACTTACTGCTAAATGCTGCAGAAGACAATTGGCACATTTTAAGGCAGAATTAGAAAAGAGCTTTTTTTCCAGATAAAAAAATTGATTGATAATTTGGCAACAAATTTTTTCCACCTGAAGTGCTTTCTTCAAAGCACTATGTGTTCTACACTATGCATCAGTATACAGCTAGTTGAAGATTAAAAATTGATTGAAGAATTCATCAGAGTGCAATAATTGGTTTATAACAAAATACACAACTTAGCAAAAAGGTCATAGAAAGTCAGACAAAATATTTTGAATACTAATGTTACAAAAGAAAAGATTTTGTCAAAAATCTTGCTGGGAACTTTTTAATCGATTTAATACAGACTTTTGTATGAATGGTGCATACTGACGGGAAACATATATCCATAGATAATGATTTCATGTACAAAATAATAAAAAGAAATATAAATTTTTTTTTTTTTTTTTATTTGTAATAACTGAATTTTAATGAGAAATGTGTTTATTGTACAAGAGTAATGAAAAGTTCTCAACCTGACCCCATCCCCAGAATCCAAGCATTATTTTGTCAGTGTAGCTATAAAGAAGGTTTTTTTATATTTATTTATTTTTTTTTTTTTTTTTAACTCAATCACCCCAAGTAAGGTGACAACACCACTAAAATGCAAGAGGTGTACAAGAAGTGAAAGAGAAGAAAAAGATTTTAAAAGGAACCAGAAGCCCAATAATAGTATTTAGGCAGAGATATAAGAAGTATAGAGTTGAAGTAGAATATACAAGGAACTGGAAACAAGTTCAAAAGACCGGGGAGGAGTGTGAACTGGACAAAAGGTGAACCCATCTACTCCTATTATATTGTAATGTACCAATTTGCAAGATCATTTCACTTATCTTTTTTTTTTTTAATTAGTTTCAGATCAATGATTGAATTATGTCAACAAAAAGGGTGAAATTTCTAAATGCTCTTAGGAAGTATCTGTTCTTGCAGAAGAAAACTCCAAAGGAAAGCCATGCATATAGGATGCAAACACTGGTTGATAAGTGTCTGACATATTCAACTAAAGGAGTAGTGTGCCAACTTCCAACATGAATATTTTCAGACGAAAGGTGCAGGAGTCTGGGAGGCTTTCAAACGAGGGCAACTCCTGAAACTTGATTATATTCATGATCTCATTTTGGCCAAAAGAATTGCCAATAAGATTAGAGGTTTTTTAGCAAATACACTGGATTTATAATTCATGAGCAGTTGGATATGCAGGTGTTAGCCAAAATGTTTGAATGCAGATGAGATACTGAGTGGACATCTCCAAATTGCAGTATTTTCAACAATCTAATTATTTTTGGAATATCTCGACATTGCTGATGAAACATGCTTACACCATTATGTCCAAGAGGCTAAATGACAGCCCAGATTAGCAGCAACAGTTGACTTCTCGACAGCCAAAGAAATTCAAGGCCAAAAGTCAGCAGGAAAGGTCATGGCCATGCTTACTGGGAGATAAAGATATTCTGATAAATTACTATCTTCAGGAAGACTAAATGTAAAATATTTTGCTGTGCTAATTAAAGGAAGCATTGAAATAAAAATGGCAAAGGTTGCTGTGAAAACCTTCAAGGTATTGCTCTCTGCCTACAGAGATAATATAATGGAATTTTTTTTAATTTTTTTTTTTAAAGAATTTGGGATTTCAGTGCATAAAACATCCACCTTACTCAGCAAATCTTGCTCCATTATTTCTCTATTCCAAACCTTAATAAGGAGTTTGAAAAGGGAGGAAATTGATAGTATCTGCAGAATAGTCTTTCAATGTCATTTTTTTTTTGTTTTTTTTTTAGGCGGGGATGGGAAAAGAAACTTGAAAAACAATCCACAAAGTGTGCTGAATTGTAGGCAAATACATGGAATACGCATATTAACACACTCTAGGTTATTTCCTCCTTTTCAGCATCCCCTTCTATGTCACGTAACCATTTCTGTTTTAAGTAGCAGATTGATTTTTTTGTCATTTTCTTTTTGCATTCCCCAACTATTCTTTCTTTAAATTTTTTTTCTTCCTTTTTTAACAATTCATTTTTACAATATCAACTTTTAACAAATTTATGATTTTAAACACTTAACTCACAAAAATACCAGATTTCAATGATTTCCATGCAACTATCATGAGAACTAGTGACATTCGTTAAATTTTAATATATTTCATTAAAAAGAGCTTTAAAAAAATTAGTTTTAATCAAACTATATATCTTTTCTTTTTAAAAAGAAATAAAATAAAAATAATTTTCATGCTTGGCATAGAAAAAGTTCTCTGCTAAAATGCGTTATCAAATTTATTTCTTTATGTGCACATATTATTATTATACAAATATGTCTTATTCAACATTAACTTTTATATGAAACTGGAGATATCATTTCTGTTAATCATGTCTTGATAAAACCTAGAAAACCTAAACACAAAACTGATTTACATTGTTCAGACTATTGTCCTCATCTTTGTTGCCATATTTGACGTTTCAGCTATTGTACACTCTGGCCTTCTTCAGTCAGAACAATGTAAATAATATTACAATACCTCATCTCAGAAACCTAGACAGATACAAAAACTGATTTACAAAAATTATCATCTATAGCGCCACAGCTGTTCACTTGATGGCAGTGTTGCTTGGTATCATATGTCCTACCGACCAGTATTTGTGGTAGGCTAGAAATTTTGCTTTCACTTTGGGGGAAATCAATACGTTTATATTTAGTTTCTAAATTGGTATCTTAAATGATACCACAGGTGTCGTAGGGTTAAACTGAAAACTTATTCTATAAAGTGAAAATATTTTTCAATGCCAATAGATTAAATAAGATTTTATCTTCTAGCAAGAAAAAAAAAAAAAAAAAAATTAGAAAAATGATGCATACTTATAACAATATATTATTCTACACAAACACTTATAAAAGCAGATGTAGGTACTTAAGCATATAAATTAAAAAGGAAATGGCATTTTAGTAATTG